GGCGCGGGGCGGGGCCGTGAGGCCGCGAAGGGGATTCCCGAGGTGAGCACAGCTCGCGAGTTGGGCGCCGCCTCAGCAATTCCGGGTCTGTCGTGCTGGGCCCCGCGGAGGAAGAGGAACAGCAATAAGAGTTGCGGAGGGCAGGCGGGTCCGCGGGGAGGAAGGGGGCGGTCGCCGGAAAGGAACCGGTGGGAACGCGGGCGCCTATACAGGATTGGGGAGGGGAGGGGAGTTGAGAAAGAAAGGTGAGGCCGGGGATGAGGGGAGCGGCGGCGAGAAGGAAGGAAGTCCGTCCGCTCGCCCTCACGCACTGTGGCCCCGGGAAGATTCGCTGACCCAGCCGCGTGGCAGTGCTTCGGGTCTCGTCAGCCTGGGCCTGGAGAGCCCTGTCAAGTTAGTACTTGACAGCTGGTCTCGTCCAAGGTTCCAGTAATGGCTCTCTGTGGGGGAGAGAGTTTAGTGAAAAAAAAAAAAAGTACTGGGAATTGGACCTTGGACCTTTGCAGTTATATTTGCAGTCCTTTTACTTGAAAAAACAAAATTTTTTTTGAAATAGCATTTTGCTACGTTAGACAGCCTGGGCTTAAACTTGAGATCCTCATGCTTGTGCCTGCCAGAGTGCTAGGATTGATTACAGGAGCTCCGCCTTTTCCTATCTGTATGTCTTTTAAAAAATAATATTCAGTTAATAGGACAGCGGAAGGCACTAATTCTTAGAATCGTGTTAAAGGTACAGTTATGCACGCTCTAATTTGCCCAAGAGTACAGTATCATTTATTTAAAAGTATTAAGCAGCTACTTATGAAATACATGTTTTATGTTATAGGAGAAAGTAGCCAACCTTCCAAAAAATAAGAAAAGGTATGCTTCTAGTTGTATTGGCTATGATGGAAGGGGAGGTTCCTTTTATCTTTAGTGTTGTTCACGTAAGTGCTGAAGAATCTTTTCTTAAAAGAAAGAATCTTGATTATCTGGAAGTTTAAAAGGTGGTCTCCTTCTCTTAAGTACAGACCAGAAGCATCAGCCTAGACTAGGAACCCAATCTCCAGTATCGTTTGCAACCGTTTTTCATCAAATTTTCATTTCCTTAGGCATTTATTAAGAACCCTGAGTTTTGTAGACAATATGGAAAGTCATATTCTTCCATGCACCAGTAATAGCGGGAAGAGTATTTTAAAGTAGTGAAGTTGTTAGGGAGGTTTGTTACCTTGTATTTACATACCATTTCCTTTTACCTTGTTTGGCTAGCTTCATCTCACCCCATTCTTACCCTTCTCAAGTGTTTATCATTCCTATCTGTACATCAAAACTACAAGTGAAACTGTTAAAAAAAAAGTTGAGACTCTCAGTCTAGATGTACATTGACTCAATTCTGGAAGTTGACATGTTTTGCTTTGCTTTTTTGTTCTAACCTCTACAGATAATTCATATGCATAATTAAATTTTAGAAAATAACTGCCTATTCCCAAGCTCATCAAATAGTTTTATGGATAGGCAACGTGATTTCATCTTTTATATGCTTGATATTTGTTCTATTTAGAACAAACACTCTTCTTTTTGTGTATCTATTTAACTGCTACTGGTTGTTCAGGACTCTTTAAGCTCAAACATGACCTTAAATCCGCATACTTTCACCAAGCAGAATAGCTCCTTTAACATTTTGTTCATATAAAAGAAGCCCTCATAGATGCAGTCTGGACCATAATGAATAAGTTGAAACAAATGGTTAAACATTGAATTGACACTTTATAAGTGTGAACTTTATGGTAAGTTAATTATATCTAGGTAAAGCTTTTTCAAAAGAAAGTTAAACCAGAGAATCGTGAAAAGAATGTAACATAATTTTCACTTTTTATATTAACCTAAAATAACCATATGCACATTTGCTAATCTATGAGAAAGTCCAGGCCTTTTCTTGACTTATGGCCTTCTGATCGAATTCTGCATTTCTTTCTCTTGCATAAACCATAAAGTTAAACTATCAGATTTTTTTTTCCTTTATGAGGAAAATAACTTGAAGGTACATACGAAGCTATCTGAATGCAAATTTGCTCTTTACAATCTTTCATAGTTATCCCACATATCTTTATTAGTTCATCCAAAAATATTAAAACAGATTTTAAAGGTAATCAACTTTATTTTCATGCTTTTTTGTTGATTTACATATTATAGTATGATATCAAGTGCAGTTGGCATAAACGGGTTTAGAAACAACTCATGAAAGATTTTACAGTTCAACTGATACGGCAGAAGTAGGCAGACTCACGAAAGTGTAGTTTCCTAATCAAGCATTAATCATGATATGGGACTTTATCATTTATAATTTACCTTTCAAATAGGGTTATTTGGGTAGAAATCAAGTGTATCTCTCCATTTTATTTGACTGTACTGTATATCTTCCTCATAGAAACTTAGAGCACTTATTTTGAGGACAGTGATAGGACTTTGCTGTTAAGAATCAGTGGGGCAGTTGGACGTGGTGGCGCACGCCTATAAACCCAGAACTTGGGAGGCTGAGACAGGAGGATTGCTGTGAGTTGGAGACCAGCCTGGGCTACATAGTGAGTTCCAGGTCAGTCTCAATTACATAGTGAGACTGTCTCAAAAAAACAAAACAAAACAAAAAAGAATCACTGGGGAAATCCCAGACATTCTTACGCCATCATGTACATCTTAGAACAAGTGGAATTTTTACAAAACCTGAATAGTTCTTTATAGGCTGTTTACACTAAAGTTTATGGATTATTTCAGAAAAGGCCATGTAACTGATGCAAATTTCCTTGTTATAAGTTTGTGTTAGTTTGCTGGGGCTGCCATAACAACCACAAACTGGATGGTTTAGCTGTGTCCAATCTGTGACCAGCTTTTTCCCCCTTTATTTTTTTTAATGTTAACGATGAAAATATAAAAGAGGATGTTTTGTTACATAGATTAACTATGTTTTCTGTGTAGCCCAAAACAATTCCTCTTCGCTCAAAAAAAGGCAAAATATAAAGTATGCCATATTTTGAATGTGGCTAGCAAATCAACAAAGCTTAATCTCATAGTTAGGGAGACTAGATTGTGAAATTGAGATGTTAACAGGACTTTGCACCCTTTTATGTTTTCCTTGCTTCTACTATCTTCTGGTGCTTCCAGGCCTGTCTTAGGGGCAGTATAAAGGGATTTTATCTTTCCATCTTCACATGGTCTTTACTCTGTGTGTCTAAGTCTCAAATTTCTCTAAATTTCTCTTCTAAGATACCTGTGTGAAATTACTGAAGGCTAACCAAATGAGAACAGGAGAAGACTATATAATTCAGAGATTGCAAAGGAGTCTGTCACTAATGTGGGAAATTGGAACAGCTCAGTGTTACAGGTCAAGTACTACCTCTCCAGTAATTTGAAGACTCGAGAAACCAAAAGTCACTTGAAAAGGTGGAGAAAAACCTTTATTGCCAACTGGGTCAGAGGAGCTTTCCTGCTCTGAAGCTTGAGTGGCTGATCACTTAGCAGAAATGGGAGCATCCTTATATAGGGATCTAGGGGTAGGAGAACATGCTCACCAAAGCGGAGGGGCGGAGTTATAAAACATTCTTAAAAAGTCACAATTATTCAAACAATTGCAAAACATTTTGATACATTGGGCAGGAGCAGCAGAAACTTACATTTTTGAAACAAAACATTTAAGGAAAAAAAGGGGGATATAAGGTTTGCACTATGTATTATTGCCCCATCATTATTACTTGCATCTTGACTGAGTAAAGGGCAGGGATAGGAGGGAGTACAATCTGATTGGAGATGTTGAAATGGGAAGCTTCAAGGCAGGCTAACTAGAAGAGGCAGCCTATATGACTGGTTAGAGGTACATATTTAACTTTCCCTGGTTAGTCCCAAATTGTTAGTAGAGTTAAGAATCCAGGAAAATGTCAAGAATTGGCTGTCAATTTTTATAATTTGGCTTCCTGGGTTGCTATAATAGTGGTCTGACTTAGTACAAATCTGGTTTATAGATAACAAATTGGCTTTCTGGGCTGGTTACTGTAGAAAATGGTTTGGTTTCCCAAGTTCATTGTTGTAGGTTGTGGATCAGATCATATACATTTTTATATATGACCTGGCCATTGTTTTCATAGTCAGTCTCACATATCATTGATTTAGGACCCAACCAAAGTCCAGGATCTCAAGATCTTTTACTTAATTATATCCGCAATGATCCCTTGCAAAGTACAATCATATTCACTGGTTCTGGGGGTTAAGACAAACATCTTTTTTGGACATCATTCAACCCATTACATAGCTCTTCTTGGTTTAGAAATACTGCTTGTTTAGACAAAAAAATAAGACCTTGTCCCTCAGTGACCTGAATGAGACAATAAGTATGTTATAACTGGATTTTACCAAAATTCTAGTTTCTGTCCCAGAATTAGGGGCCTTTTTGAAACAGTTTCATGGGTGTACTTGAATTTGCGCTGCATACCCACCCTTTATGTCTGTTCTCCAAAATGAAATTTTCAATGGTCTAATTCTATGAAAATGTGTCTGTCTTCAGAGAAAGTTCACCTTTTTTAGAAAGCTGGAAGCTTTGAATATTGCTTATGTTATTTTGGGTAGTAAGTTAAAGAACAGTACAAATTCTGTGCACAGTATCCTGAAACTTTAGTCTCATTGCCCGCTCAAAGAAAGAGAGTAATCCCTAGTTTCAACAGATTCTAAGACACCAGTCTGTAATAGATATATGCTAAATTTTTAATGATTTCATTTATTAACTCCTTTTGGATGACTCTAATAATGTTGTAACTTCTTTTAAAAATGTAGTTGAAAGATATTCAGTCTTTAAAATCTGCTTGCATTGATTTACACAATTCTAATGAATTGTCAGTAGATGGCAATAGATTTGTTTCATTTTTCCCCCTTCTACTATAGAGATAAAAACTAAAATGTTCCCAATTTTACAGCAGCTGTCCTTTCATGAGTAGTTGGTTTAAATAAATGTCATGCAAGAGTTCTTCAATTCAATTTATGTTTTTCCAGGAGTAGAGATTAAGAAATGCTGGTTACTTTTTTATAGTATAAATTTAATTTTCATTTTTTTAGGTTATTTCATCAAATATTTTAGGGAATACAAAAATTAGTAAGACACTACCTTCCTGGTGCTTGTAGTCTAGGGGGAAAGGTAGTGATACCGTTCATGATATGAAATTTTCATGATATGAAAATTCTAAGAAACACAATTTATTAAATACTCATTGTATGGCAGGAATTTGCTGAATGCTTTACATGCATTATTTCACGTATATTACTCAGAATAATAATTCTGAGTAGTATAATGCTACTGTCATTCTGCTTAACAGATAAGGCATCTGAGCCCAGTTTGGAAATTGTTTACCTAATAAGTTAGCAAGTGTTACAGTCTGTATTTAAAATTAGTTCTGCATTATTATAGTACCTACACTTTTATAGTATAATAAACAGTTGTACTAAAAAGAGATCATATCTGCCCAAAAGGACTTCTTAAAAGATATTGGCTGCAATATTGGACATGATCAGAAAATATTGTTTTAGGAGCATTATTCTGTCAGAATAGTGTGAAATGGAGATAGACTAGTTAGATACCTACTGCATGTCAGGTTCTTCTAGATCTCTTCCTAGAAGAAGATGAAAAATAGGTTTGTGCTTTAGGCAAAGTTGTCGGAAGATTTCTCTGCTGAGATGATATTTGAGAGTGGAAAGGAATGATTGGATTCTAGTGGAATTTAGAACCAAGGCATTTTACCAAAAGAATTGCTTATAATGTAAAAGAGAACAGTCAAGGTTCTAGCTTATCTTTTGGGTAGGATAATTGGGACAGCCACCTTGAGTAGCATATTTATGAAGTGTCTTTAAGATTTCTAAAAGGGCCTTTGAAATACTAACAATGAGCTCTCCTTTGTGATAATCTTGGGCAAGTGTGGTTTTATTTCCTGGGCTCTGCACCTTTTTCTAGAGACCCCATTACTAATAAATTGGGGTTTGAGGCCCATACAACAAGAATGAACTTGTACTTAGAGAAACTGAAGGAGCAGGTTTAGTGGTGGTGATAGAGTGGACAGAGGAATCAAGAGTTCATTTTGGAACATATTAAGTTAAAATGCTTGTTAGAAATACAAATGGAGTTATCATGTAGGCAGTTTGGTCTGAGTGTGTAGTTCAAAGGGGATTTCAGACTAGAAAGATAAATTTAGGAGTTGTAAGCCGATAAGTGGATTTTTTTCTTTCAAATTACTTTGGCACAGGTTTGCAGAGCCTAATGGCTCCATTCGTCATGAGGAGTCAGTACATGTGCAAATCACATCTTAATTCTTTTTATGCCCCCTACCTTTCTCTTCCTGCCTTCCTTCCTCTTCCCATCTCTGGTGCCCCTTCCCGTAAATGGATTTTAAAGCTATAGAACTGGATGGTATAATTTGTAGAATGAGTACAATAAAGAAGGAATTGAGTACCAAGCACTAGGACATTATAACAAAAGTGAGAAAGATGAGAAAGAACCAGCAAGAGACCAGATAATGTTTTAGAGAAGGCAGTCATAATCAAATGTGACACGTGATGTCATTAGGTCAAGTAAAATGAAGACTGAACTTATCCATTGAATGTGGGAATATGGAGAAGACATAGAGAAGAGCTTTAAAGGTAGAGTGGTGAGTGCTTGATTCTAGTGGGCTCAAAAGAATGAGTAACGGAAGTAGACAGCAAATGTCTATATAGGAGAGCAAAAAATGGGTCACCAACTAAAGTATTATTAAAGTAAGACTAGTGATGGTGATTGATTTATGATGAGTCACTCAGAATAATACATTGTCTTAGTTTCTCATTGCTGAGACCAAATATCCAAGACCAAAATACAAAGGAAGAAAGGTTTATTTTATTTAGCTCATGGTTTGTAGAGGTTTTTATCCATGGTTAGCTGATTCCAAAGCAGGGTGGCATGTCAGAGGGGCATTGCAGAGGTGAAAAAGTCCATGATGTGGCAAGCAGAAGGAAGCAAGCCACAACAGCAAACCTATCTTCCTTTATTTCCCCTTATAGTCCATCCAGGGTGTAAGCCTATTTGATTGGTGCCACCCATGCCCAGAGTAGAGCTTCCATTGTCTGCACCAGATCTATGCTAAACCAATTTAGTTAGCTATCACACACCATAATCCCAGCATCATAAATCTATAATTCAGCCACCTCCCAAAAGCCCCACTTAAGAGCACATGAGGCTGTGGGGGGACATCTAAGTACAAGCCATGACGTGTTTCACCAAATAAAGAGGGGGATTATGTTGAGTGGACATTCAGAGAAGTAATGTCTATAAGTAGGTGAGACAGGAATACAGATAAGAGCAAAGACACTGTATTTATCCTAAGGAAAGTATAGGCTAAGTACAGGTGCAGAAAAACTAGTAGATGGGGTAGTTTAGCAATCTGGTATTTTCTATGCTGTCAGTTAAATAAAAGGTAGCTTATCTTCTGAAAGAGGAAGAGGAGATCTGTGGGGGCAATTTGAAGACAAGAGGAAAGAAATCTATGAAACTTGATGAACCCTAAAGGCCTATAATCAAGGGCCCACTTGCCATAAATTATTTTGAATTTATATTGAGATCACAGTACAGTTGTGTCTTGAGAAAGCATCCTCAGCTATATTCTGAGTGAAGCAAGGAATTATATTTTTACTAGAGAAGTAGGTCAGGGAAAGATCTTTAAGGTAAACAAGGGTGAATGCAAAGGAATGGAAGCCAGGAAGGAGGTAAGAATACATGAGGGACTTGATGTAAACAGGGAAGAGTCAATGGATTGAAGTGTTGCTGTGATTAAACAGCTCTAATAATCAAAATACTGGATGAACTAAGTTAGAAAATTAAAAGTTAATTAAAATTTGCTTCTAGGAGGCTATATATTAAACTGGTAGCTTTTCATCACTATGTCAAAGTACCTGAGAACATCAACTTAAAGGAGGAAAGATTTATTTTGACTTTCAATTTCAGAAGTTTCAGCCCATGGCCACTGCTTCTATTGCTATGGACCTATGGTAAAGTAGAATGTTGTGGAGGTGGGAGCCTATGACAGAGCAAAGCTTTTCACCTCATGGTAGCCAGGATGGAGAAAGACAGATAAACACAGAGACAGATTCTGGGGAGAAGGCATACCCCATGGACCTACTTCCTCAACTAGACCACCACCTAATGTTTCTACTACCTTTCAGTGTCATGAAATTATCGATAGATTAATCCATTAGTGAGATTGGAATCCTTGTGATCCCAAAAGCTTCACTCTGAACATTGCTGCATTAAGGATAAATCTTCAACATATGAGACTTTGGGGAACATTTTATATCAAAACTATAACCTGTGCCATCTGTGTGGATATTGAAAATTTTTTTCTTTTATTGAGTTTATTGGTACATTTTAAGTGTACAGTACAATTACGTTCATTATTGGGATCTTGTACCTTTACATGACAGGTTTTGGTTCTCATTTTTTTCCCCTTGTCCATGCTGGATATTGAAAATTTAAAAAATGAGTAGTTAGAAACAGTATGTCAGATGATATAATCTAGGGGTGAGGAGAGACACTTTACGTGTCAGTTGTCTGATGGAATAAACTTCAAGGAAACTTAAAAAGTTTTTCTAAAGAGAAGAAAAGGTCATAGTTTGGCAGTAGTAACCAGTAACAAAAATATCTCACCTTCAGACTTAGTAACCTGAGCATGGAAAGCAAAAAGGTGAAGGGAAGTTTCACTTGAAGAAATTGAAGATAGGTAGGATTTTGCTGAAGATGGTGAGTTTTAGGAACCAAGTAGAAGAATATAAAAAAGTTGAAGAGTCATTAACACAACATCAAAGGGTCTTATCAAGCTGGAAAAGAATAGGTCTTCATAATGAGGAGTGACTTGGGAGTCTTAGGCTTCTGAAGACAGATGAACAGATACAGTAGATAATGGGAGCCATTTCCACAGAGTCTTAAGCAGATTTTAGAAATTACATTAATTTGGAGGAAAGAAATGGCACTCATCAGGAAGGTAAAAATCTCTCAGGAACTTAGTGGAAGCAGGAACAACTTAATTGGGTTCCTTTTTCAGACATGCAAACTATGGTGACTGTAGGAGTTGCATAATTTTCATTGTACTTTACTGAACTAGTTCCCGAAAGAAGAAAAGTAGAAAGTAATAATGGGACTTTTAAGGAGGAAGTTGAAGGCTGCTGATGTAGCTCAATAGTAGGGTGTGCTTAGCATGCACAAGGTCCTGGATTCAATCCTCAGCACCAAAAAGAAAAAGAAAAAAAAAGGACATTGATTAAAGTAACATTTTAACAATAAAAGAATACAAAATAGTTGGATTCTGGGGTGATATGTAAAAACATGATTTTCCCTTTAAAATTATACTTGAGAATTCTGGAATTAAAAACATAAACTTTGGCCTACCTTGCAAGCGCGAGGACCTGAGTTCCATTCCCAATACCAAAAAAAAAAAAAAAAAAGCATAAACTTTGGAGCCAAAATACTTGAATTCAAATAACATCTCAATAGTTAATCTAAGTAAATTTTTTCATCTGTTTGTGCATTGTACTTTTATGTAAAATGAAAATTATATTTTTGAGAGTCAGATGAGTTAATATTTAACTACATGTCATAGAACAAACTATATTTTTTAAATGTAGAGTATTTAGTGTCCAGCACAAACTAAGCACGATGAAAGCCTTACTATACAATCAGTTGAGTGAAGTTGTTACCATATTTTTGACTGGGGTGCCTGTGATGATCTACATTGTGTCTGTGTTGTATTAGGTTGTAACTTCTCAGTTCTTGGGTCTTCCTTGAGATTATTTGCAAGGACCCCACAGAAGGAGAATCAGAGTCCAAAAGTATCAATTTTAGTAAGCTCTCTACTGTGAAACAAAGAGTCTTATGTGTATACAAAGATTTAGCTAACTGCCTACTGTATCCAACTAACTGAAAAAGGCATGCATTTTCTAGAATTTCATGTAACCATGGAATTCAAAGTACTAGAGAAAATTAGATTTGTATGATAGTAATATCCTGGGGCAGTTCTATATGTTGCACAAAAAGGACATAGAGTGATGGCATGAACACAGTAAGCTGAGTATCCAGGTAAACTTCAGGAAAAAGGTAAATTTCAAGTGTGACATGAAGTAAATGACATGAGACAAGAAAGAATTATAAATTCTCAGTTTAAGGCAATACTTGTTAAGCTTAGGATCTCTATCTTGGATATATCTAGATTTGAATTTCTTAGGAAGAAGTTTAACTATATATATCATTTTTCAATTCAAATTTTCATGTATAAATTTTTTCTTTTTTTTTACACATTTCAATCCTTTAAATTTAGTTTTTGGAAAACATAATTTGTACATGAGTACTTTGTTTAGTTGATCTTTTTTTTTTTTTTTTTTTTTTTTTTTTTTTTTTTTTGGTACTGGGGATTGAACTCAGGTCCTTGCGCTCACAAGACAAGCCACCGAACTGCTGAACTAAATCCCCGGCCCTGTTTAGTTGATCTTTAAGAAAGATAGTTAATGATTTTGTAGACTTTTCTGAGAAGACTTCCTTACATTTGCCTTACTGTTACAATAATTGACTTTTTGTCTTGACTTCAAAGTTTATTATCACTTTAATACAATTTGGAAAGATTCACAGGGTCTATAAAAGTCAACTAACATTTTATTAAAAGATTAGTCTTTGCATAGAAAAATCCTTATGTACAAACATTAAGTAGGAGATGACAGCTTCCAATATCAAAAGTACTTAGCAGAATTGAATTCCTCACTCATTAATCATGAAAACATGTACTGTGTCCTCTGTGTAGGGAAATTCAGATACCTTTTTCCTAAATCTGATGAAGAGTTTTTTTTTAACTCTGCCAAGACAGCACTCTTGTGTCAGAACAGCATTTTCTTCATGTTTCAATGGAGAAAAATACCCCATCATCAGCTGCTCCTAAATAAAGAATAGACTGAAGTCTATTGCCCTGGCAAAAATATCTCTGAACAGGAGAACTCTCTATATTCAATACTAATTGGAGAAATTGTTAAGCATTCTTGAAACTTTCTCGCAAATTCTGGTTATTGTTTTAAAGCCTATTTCAGCATAGTACTAGAGTGTCAGGTGATGGCCCAACCACAAGTTCATTATCAGGGGATGCCTGATTGCCTGACTGATAATATAGCAGGGGATGAAAGAATAATAAACAACAAGGAATAATGAATGATAGTTTATTACTTGGGCATCTGGGAATTGATCTTAGCTCTCCCCTAAGTAAGACCACCTGTTCTTAGCTCTATCCTGGCTAAGACCATTATCCCTGGATTAGTATTTATGATCATACAACATAGCAGGCTGTATAAAGGCAGATGTAGGGGATAGCAGAACTAATGAGCCAGACTGGTAGAAGAGGAGTTACTGTATACTTGTGAAGAACAAGTTATCACTAACAAGCCACCTGCGTTATCTTTAGCTAAAGTTTGATCTTGGAGAATGGATGCACAGAATCATAATTCCTCAGCTGTAGTGTTTTCTTGCTGTTGGAGACATCACAATCTCATAGGTCATTGAGATCTCAGTTGTAACTATTGGTCTGTTTCAATATACCAGCTGAAGTCTCGTTTAGCAGGTCACATGTAGGCCTTGGAAGGACTCATAATTCTATTCAGCTGAATTCATAAGCTGAATCAATAATATTTAAATCCTCAGTGCAATTTCAAGCTGGTGTCCTGCAGTAGAGGTACCAGCTACTAATCTATAATATTTACTCTGTATATGTCAGGTATAGTACTAAACATGATGCATATCTTACTGTAATTATTACAATAGCCCCATGAGATTTTACAAATAAGAACACCAAGGATCAAAGGAGACACTAAAATTTATAACAATTGAAAACTGGAGAACCAAGATGAAAATGTTTTCTTTCCAAAGTCTCTTATCCATTGTGTTTTAATTATTTGTACTAATGATTAAATGTCATTACCATCTTGTGGTATATGTGGTGATCACAAATACTCAATGGGAAAATTAAAAGATTATCAAGATAGATTATCTTGTAGGAATAAAGAAGATGAACCGAAAAGGGAAAAAGAAGAGATTGTAAACAGAAAATGTCAGGCAACAAAGAAGGGAAGAGTGATGGTGATGAGCTTCTTAATGAAGGTAATAAAACAATCAAGAAATAAATGAAAGAATAGTAAAATAGAAGTATGAAAGGATAATTGTTAAAATTAATAGCAAATTAGAATAGAAGGAAGTGGTTACATTTCACCAGGAAAAAAAACAGTGCTTGCAAAAGTCACAACAATTTGAAAATACAGGCTTATAATGAAAATATGTCAATTATAATTACTATTGAGTTGTGGTTGTGCTATAATTATAGGTGCAAGCGCTCTGGACCAAAAAAAATAGGACCATAAAAACATTATTCTCTTTCATAAAGGAATAGGTATAACATTGCAGTAGATAACTCTGAATTGCCTATCATTCTTGCCTTTGATTTTGATTTTATTCAAATTGAATATGGGAAGATTATCAATTCTAAATTCAGTTTATGAGGAGAAAAGCATCGAGTTTGTCATGATTTTTAGTAAAGAAGCATAATTTTAAAATATCTGCATTGAATTTTTATATCTTGTCTAGCTGTGTGTGAGCAAGACACATCATTAACTGATGCTCTAGAACAAGTTGCAAAGCAACAACAATCACAAACATCAGAAATAGAAAAAAACAAAAAGGCTGTGTTCCATTTACAGGTAACTTATTTCATATAATATTTTAAATGTTATTACTTTAAAAGTTTGTTAATGATAGGAAAATTATTAAGAATACTTAATATTGAGAAGATCAATTTTAAATTAATATCTCAATTTTTCTGTTCTCCGTATTTGAAGCCTATGTAAGTATTCCAGGCTTATGGAGCATTTTACACTCCCAATTCAATATACATATTCAGTGTCATTCTTAACTGTAGTATGAAGCACATGTCATATAGAATCATTTTTAATTTCTGTTTAATAATTTTTTCTGAAGTGTTGGCCTCAAGGCAGGTTGTACTGTAAACCAGTAAAAATTATAGATTGTGAGTTACTAGTTATTAATGAACATGCAAGTTGCGTCTTTCTATAATTTCATCACTTTCATAATGTATTCATAATCCCACCACAAGGAACATGGGAGCCATTCTTCGGTTTTGCATTGCAGCATAATTAGTACAACTATATTCCATGAAAGTGACTACTAAAGAAATCAAAATGAAAACAGTATTTGTGTTTGGTAAAAGTTGGCATTAAACAGATTGTAGAAATGAAAAGAATAGGCCATAAGAGTGAACTGCCTCATTTTAAAGACCAGATTTGCTAATTTTAGCTCTGCAGTTGAATTTGTCTATGCCTCTGTTTCTTTGGTTGTAAAACTGGAATAATAGGACCTGCCTCAAAGATTTTTGTGAGCATTAAATGAGTGAACTTGTAAATATATGTAAATTATCTTTTGTGGGGACCTGGTGGACAGTATAGGGCCTGTTTTTGACATTGGATTTAAGTATTAGTATATCAGGACATATATAATAATTTTATAAATGAGATAAGGATATCATAAATATTTGCTTTATGTTATTCACTTCTATTAAGAGCTTTTTCATTCAATAGAATATAAAACTGAGATAATGCCTTAGATTTCTGTAAAGAAATGCTCAGTCTAAAAACTCAGTCTTCAAAGGGTTCACAGAGATTATTTCACTTATTTTAAGAGTCTCCTTTTAAGCATTTTGTTAAACATTGTAGTTACCCATGGATTGCTTATCACCTGTTTGGGGGAGACAAAGAAAGAAGTTATTATATGCAGAGTAGTAATGTCAACGATAGAATCATGAACTCAACACAAATTGAACACTAAAAGAGTAATCACAAAAGAAGGATTGTTTCAAAGTTGAGTTTTAAGGAACAGCTGGAGTTCACCTGAATGATTGGATATTTGAGACACCCTCAAGGATTGAGTGGTGAGGAGCTTGATATACCAGATAAATAGAGTGAGAAACTCACAGAGGCCTGAAATAGCATTGCCACACTCGTAGAAGCATAAGTAATTTGCTGGTAGTATAGCATGAAGTATGTTTTTCAGAAGTGGTAGGAGATGTTCACCGTGATAAGAAACTTGGACTGTATTCCAAATGTGATGATGACTTTATAAGTTCGAAGCACAGAGAATATGAAAAATATATAAAATGTATGTTGTAGGGAATTCTAGATACATAAAATTCACTTTTAATAATCCAACATGGATTCACGACAAAAATTAAGAATAGAAAGGAAACATGTACTTAATCTTAAAAAAGATTACATAAATTCTACAGCCAATCACATATCTAATGTTGAAATACTAAATGTTTTTCTCCTAAGATCAGGATCAAAAGCAAGGATGTCTGCTCATAGATGATATACTGATAGTAAAAGAAATAAATGCATCCAGATGAGAAAGGAAAAAGTAAACCTATTTTTATTTACAAATGGAAAGTTAGAAAACACCAAAGAATTTACAAAAAATGTTATTACTAATAAGTATATTAGAAGTTGCAGGATACAAGATTAATATATAAAAATGTATTGTTCTCTATTGGCATGAGACAGAAATTAAAAATTTTAAAAATACCATTTACAATAGCACTAGACCTATGTAATGCTTAGGGGTAAATTTGAAAGATCTGTAAGATCTTATGTGGAAAATGCAGAATATTAATGAGAAAAATTAATATTTGAATAAATGGAGATATCATTTACATGAATCAGAAAACTCAGTATTGTAAATATGTCATTTCTCCCAATTTTATCTATAAGTGAAAAGCAATCTCAAAATCCCTGTGGGCTTTTTTTGGAGTAATAGAAGCTGATTCTAAAAGTTGTGTGGAAATATACAAGACATACAATAGCTAAACAATTTTGAAGAGCTGTGTTGGACTTAGACTGAGATGTTTTCTAACACTAACAATAAATTTTCTGATTCTTTGAACACCAACTGGCTAAAAGTTCAATTCAATTCTGACACTGTCTACCTGGAGCTAACATCAAACCTCAGAAATTTAGGAACTCATTCCCACAAGACTGCCCCAGTTCCAATATCATTTACAAGTCCCATGTTACTCATATTCTGCCTGGCTAATTAGAAATCAGGAGGTTCCATGACCCCTCACCAAAGGTTTAATAATTTGCTAGTCACTCAGAACACAGGAAAGCAACTCAAGAGCAGCCAAGTGGAGATGATACATAGGACAAAGTATAGAGTATCCTGGGGGCACATATGATTCTGCTAGGCACACTGCTCTTCTAGCACCTTAACCTGTCAGACTAAGAGTTTTTATGGAAGTCCCAGTAAGTACATATGATTGATTATTAACTTTGTGCTTCTCTTCCCTCCAAGGAAGTTGGGACAGGGCTACAAATTCTAAGCTTTCAATCAAGGTTAAGGCTTTCTGACAACTAGCCCTTATTCTGAAGCTCTCTAACAATCCATCACCACATTAGAACAAAAGATGTTCCTATTACTCATCATTTAGGAAATTCTAATGGTTTTAGGCACTCTGTATCTGAATATGAAATAAAGACCAGATGTTTCTGTGATATCACGCTACCTGATTTTAATATTTATTATAGAGTACAGTAATCAAGATAATATCAAATAATAGATAATATGATATGACCTTAAGGTAGACATCTAGATCCATGCAACAAAATTAAGTGTCCAGAAATAGCCGCACTCATATCAATTGATTTTTGAGGAATACTAAGGCAATTCATTGGAAAAAGAATCTTTTCCACAGATGGTAGAGAAACAACTGGAAACCATGAAAAAAGGACAAGGGGGGAAAAGAAAATACAAAGAATTACAACAATAACAAAAAAATTAATCTCATGCCATATCAAAATTAAATCACAGACCTAAATGTAAAATTTAGAATAGGACAGAAGCTTAATGATGTTGATTTTTTCAGTGATTTCTTTAACTGAATACAAAATATTTAAAAAATGGATTTCATTTTTTAAAAATTTAGAGCGGTGCGTCTAGATCTGTCTCATGCTTCAAAAGTGTTGGATGGAAATTCCCTCTTTTTCATCCTCCATCCACCTTCCAGTTACAAATTTTGGGACCATCCTCTTGCCCATCTCTGGCTTCTAGGACCAGCCAACACCATTCTTTTGTGGGTAGCTCCTTGTTGCTGACCAGCCATGACTTCTCAGATTCGTCAGAATTATTCCACTGAGGTGGAGACTTCCATCCACCTCCTGGTGAATCTGTACCTGCGGGCCTCCTACACCTACTTCTCTCTCTCTGGGCTACTACTTTGACCATGACAGTGTGGCTCTGGTGGGCATTGGCCATTTCTTCAACCTGGCCAAGAAGAAATGCAAGGGTGCCAAGCATTTTCTGATGATGCAAAACCAGTGTGGTGGCCGAATGCTCTTCCAAAATGTGTAGAAACCTTCTGAAGCCATGGGAAGCTTCCCTGGTCCTGGAGAAGAACCTGAACCAAGCTCTTCTGGATCTTCATGCCTTGGGCTCTGCCAAGACAGACCTCCATCTCTTTAGTTTACTGGAGAACTACTTTCTAGATGAGGAGGTGAAGCTCATCAAGAAGATAGGTGACCATCTCACTAACCTCCTCAGGCTGGTGGGCCCCAGGCTGGGCAGGGAGAGTTCCTCTTTGAAAAGCTTACCTTCAAGCACAGCTAGGAGGCCCTGGATCCCGACGAGGGACTCCTGCTCACTCGGCATCAGGGCATTGGCCTGACCTTCTCCCTCTAACCACTAGGCAGCTTTTTCACCTCTGGAGCCCTCTCCCAAGTCTTGGACCAAAAGAAAATAAAGGCTTTTGCAAAATAAAAATATAAAGTTGCTCTTTAAAATTCATGGTTAGAAAATTTAAAAGTATCCTTGCTGGACCCTGTGGGCATTTGAATTGTCATAGGCTGGGAGAAAATACTTGGTAACCTAGCTGATAAAGGTACTCCCTTCAGTAGCACATATATATAGCTGACAGTGTACTTGTGCTATTTATATAACATTTAACCCATTAGAATGGCTAAATTTAAAAGTTCTGGTAATACCAAGTATTGCTGTAGCTATAGAAGCCTGTTAAGTAGAATGTGAAATGACACAATCATTTGAGAAACCAGTTTATACTTTCTTTAAATCTATTCCTGTTAAACTTTTAGGTATTTCCCCAAGTGAAGATGAATGGATTGAAAAATATATAGTAAATCTATACAGAGTAATACTACTCAACAATAAAAAGGAATATATAACATGACTCTCAGAATTACTATGCTAACTGAAAGAAGTGACACTAAAAATGATTCTATATATAATTCTTAAAAATCAAGCTAATCTTTAATGATGAAATCCACGTCATTTGTTGCCTAGAAATGGAGTGATGGAGAAGATTACTTACAAAGTATCAGGAGAGGAAACTTTTGTCTATAATGGATTGTTTATCATCTTAATAAAGGTGATGGCCTCCTGTACATATATGAACGTCAAAACGAGGGGCCAGGGATTGAGCTCAGTGGTGCCACCTCCTACCTCACAAGTGCAAGGTCCCAAGTTCCATTCCTGGTACCCAAAACAAAAAATACAAAAAAGAATATCAAAACTCATCAAATTTCAAAATTAAAATACATCGAGATTATTTACATTAATTGTACTACAATTAAATTGTAAGCATAAACGGGAGAAAAGGAATGAGAAGAAGAGGAAAAGTCCAATAGTGGGATGAAGAGGAAATAGAGAAAGAAAAAGAAAATTCTCATATACGAGATTTGATTGAAGATTGAAGGGGTAAGATTCTAAAGCTAGCAATAAAAACTAATAGTCTATTACATTAGTCCTGGGAAGATATGTCCAAATTAGTGGAAGTGTCATCTTGTATTGAAAAACAGTTGATAACCTGATATAGCTGGCAGAATATTTGTTCCTTTTTTACCATTCCATTGTGCATCATCCATTCATTTAATATTTATTGAGCACCAACTTTGGGCCAGGAGTTGTCTTACTTTTTGGAAAGGAGGTGGTTAAGAAGACAGAGACGTTCCTGCAGTGGTATAGCATATTTTCGAGTCAGGGGAAACAAGTAAGAAGTAAACAAAAGAGAATTTCAGATATGTGTCACAAAGAAATATAATAGGGCAATGTTTAAAGAATAAGGAGAGGAGGAAAGTGTAGAAATTTTATTTCAAGGAAGACTATCTTGAGGAATAATAATAAAGCTGTATTGTGAATGACAAGACCCGAAAGGTAGTAACTGGGGATAGAAATTTTTAAGATAGAGCAATGCCTTTAGGTAGGAACAAACTAGGCATATTTAATAAGGAGGAGGGATACTGGAAGAGGAAAGAGTAGCAACTGAGAATAGTAAAGTAGGTAGTAAAACAGTCATCAATAAGCCACTTTATGGACTTTGAATTATAATTATGATAAGGAAAAATTAATGATGTCTTTGAGGGTGGTAAGGCTAACTATATTTCAGAATATAAGGGTGTGTTCATTTGCACTTTTGGTCCCAATTTTTCAACCATCTGTATATACATTATTCTTTGTCATATCACAAGTGAACACACTTCTGTCCCTGGACTCTGAGTTTGGTAATGTGAGTAGCTAGAGTGTTACCAGATATGATTCAAGCAAAAGATTTAAATTTCCCAAATAGTTGAATTTTCATTCTTCTGCATCTGCTATCATCATGAAAGAGACCTTCCTGTGCTGGCCCACTCGAGCATAAGATACATATAAGGCAGAGATAAGACATCCAGTTCAAGCCAATCTAAATCATTTTGTAACCAGCCAGTTGCCATAAAATGTTCTTGAATATTTAAATTTCAATTTTGACTTTTTAGAAGATATAGTACACCTATATAATTGTCTAGTACAGAACAATAAAAATTACTGCAGAGTCAAACATTCCTAAATTTAATGCACACCTGTAATCCCAGCACTTGGGAGGCTGAGGCACGATTGCCACAAGTTCAAGGCCAATCTGGACCTCATAGTGAGTTCAAGGCCAACCTGGACTGCTTAGCAAGTCCCAGTCTCAAAAAAAAAAAAAAAGTCAGAATGTAATACTAATTAGATGTATTACTTTTGTCGTTTAAGATCTCAGAACTCTCAATTTTATTACCCTTTCAGTGGCAATAATAATGACAACTGTCTAGGGCTTTAGCAACTCATCTGTACCATTCCTGTATTTGTTTTGCCTTTTACATGAGTTAACTGAATGGAAAACTGCTGTTCCACTTGGAAAAATTAGATTCTTTTTCAGAAATTGCCAAATGGAGAAACTAAATGAATATATCTTCCTTGTTTAAAAGAACCTGCAGGTTTCTTCCTAAAAGCAATTTTTTCCTTTTTATTGAGTTTTTTGGTACAATCTAGGTATACAATACAGTTACATTCATCATTGGGATCCTGTACCTTTACATGATAGGTCTTGATTCTCATTGTTTCACCTTGTCCCTGCCCTCCCTTCACCCTCTCCTCCCCTCCCCATTTACAAACACTTTATTTCCATTTTTTCAGTTTCTCATATTTTTTTCCTCTCCCTTATTACCTTCCCCCCACCCTTCCCACTTTCCCTACACCTTTAGCCGTTTACTTCCTATTTCACATTATTAATTATCTTAGGATCCTGTGTACTATTATAGTTTTTCACACCAGAGAAACTATTCAGTATTTCAGTTAAAGAAATCTCTGTATGAACATTAAAAATAGGGAATCCTAAAATAAAACTGAAAAGGAAAGTAAAAGAGAAAAGGCAATGATGTAATATTAAAATAATCCTTAATTCTGGAGATGAAAATGGTCCCTGAACATATTTAAGTTGCTTCTTGCTCCTGTAGTCTTATATTATTCTTTTTTTCATTATTTAGAGAATACTTTATTAGTTTCTGTAATCAAACCCACGTAGATATGACCTTACACATTTAGTATGATGTGTTACCCCTGTACACATGGAAAAAAGTAAAAATAAAAAATTAACATTTCTAGACCAATAAAAGCAATTTTTAAAACAAGCATAACCACCCCACAGACATTTGCACAAATCAAACCAAAATCAGCAGAACCAACAGACAATCCTCACTGTTCCTAGCAGTGTGAATCACCTAGCCAACCCCAAGTACTCCAAGCCTGTCAACAATAAAACACCTATGTACTGTTGTGTGTCACTGAAGTTGTGTTTTCTGGCAATACATAACTGTTACCAAACTAGGAGTGAGGAAAGATTAGTCCGATTTTTGGACATCGGCTAGGGAGGGAGGAAGAATTAGCCTGAATTTTGGACAAGATTTGTTTTGAGAAGGCCACTGTTAGCCAAATATACAACACAACAACCATGTATAGTCTATGAATTATCAGAAGATACATAGCTTAAAATGTGAATATGGATGAGATTACCCAAGGAGTATATGTAGAATGAGAAGAGGAAATTACAGTAACTGAACTCTGAGGAAGACCTGTATTTGAAGGAATCATTTTGATCAAGAAGGGATACTCAGAAATAGCTAAGGAGAAAAAGAGAAAAATGGTGGTGTGCAAACTGGATTTTATTTATTTTTTTAATTAAGTCTGTTGGTACATTTTAGGTGTACAGTACAGTTACATTCATCATTGTGATCTTGTACCTTTACGTGATGTATCTTGGTGAAAACTGGGTTTTAACAAGGAGGTACCAGTGAGCGATGCCAAATGCCACACTGGGGAAAAATAGATATTTTTGTATCCATTTTACAAATAAAGTGAGGGTTAGATGGGGTAAGGTTTGTTATACATGATTATACAGTAAAAAGTAGGAAACAGCACTGAGGGTACTGGAACCTAGATCTTTTGATTCTTACCTCGGGGCTTTATCATTTTAATCATATTATTTCTTTTTAAAATTTTTATCCTTGTAAGTACATGTTTTTTCTTAAATGTACTTCTGATATGCATAAATACATTATTAGAATTATTGTTAAATATCTTTTTTACACATAAAATGATTAAATTGTAATATGTAGAACTAGATGAATATTTGAAAGTAAAAATTATGTGACTCCGAGATCTTTCTGAGATTATAAAATAATTGTTACACTTATGCATGTTTCCTTCTATTGTATGCATAGATTTTTCTGTATTTTATAAATATATATTTTATGTTGTTTCCTTACATGCATTATGGATCAAAACAATGACTTTCCTCTCATGCTGAATTCTATGAATTAATAATGATAATCTTGAAATATATTACAGAATGAACTTCATGAACTTGAAAAACAAATAGCAGCAGTCTGTGCTGAAACTAAAGAAACAGAGAGGCAAATTTATCACCAAGATGTTACCATTGAGAATTTCAGACTTCAATGTGGAAGCCTAGAAAGTCACATCAAGACCTTACATACAGAAAATATAAAGCTTAAATTTGATATAGAAACAGCCCAAGAAGATTTTGATGAACAGATGAAAAGATATAATATATATTATGTGAAAATAAAGGCACATAAAGATAGTTTGAGAGAAATAGAAAGAAAATGGTCATTTATGACTGAACTTTATGAAAAAAGAGATCTCATTAAAAAACTAAAGACAGTGAAAGAGGAACTTAGACAAGACCTCCAAAATCCAGGTGGAAACAGAATAACACAAATACAGGTTTGAATTATTAATTTCTGCTACTCTTTTTGTAAGTACACATATTAAACAATAAATTTTATCATTAAGTCAATAAATTTCCCATAACTGTTCCTCTGCATTCTCAGATTTCAAAAACTGTGATAAGTACATGAGGTATGTATTTAACATGTATCCCAAATATGCAAAGGCATAAAGAAGATTTTAGAAGTCCCCGTAGATTTATAAAAATAGGTGATCAGACAAAATCACAATGAAGAGTTAATCAATTTGTTGAATAAAGTGTAATCCACCAAAGTGTTGAGGATCTAGCTTCTCTGCTAATTAATCCAGACCAACTCAAATCCATGTAGTGTGCTTAATGCTATTATGCAAATAATATAAATTAATAATGATATTAAGCATCTCTGTATTCCTAGTGTCACTGTTTGAAAACCATAGAAGATTAAAACTTAAAATATCTACCACTTTTTGCTAGAGACTTAATATCGTCTGCACTGTTGCCAGACAATTGCCATCATAACTTCATAACTACCACTTTCTTTTATGTCTTCTTTTTTTTAGGTTCCGTGCTTTCAAGTATAATATTTGTTCAAATAATAGTTCTTTATCTCATATACCTATAGAAATAATACTTTAATCCTACTTATCAAGTTAAATTTTGATATGGCTGCTTTTCTTAAATTACGAAAACACTGAAAGTCTTGGATTTATATTGACCATTCCTTTTTTGACTTGTATATTTTAAATTTTAACACATAGGAAGATATTTCAATGCTAAAGAATAAAATTGTAACTGTAAAAGAATCTATCAGTGAAACAACTTATTTTATTGAAGAAGAAAAAAAGAAACATGAAAAGTTAAGAAAAGAAATAGAGGTAAGTTTTAATTATCTAGATTTCAATGTTTTATGAGACCATTTTTAAAGTTTGTACTATACATATATTTCTACAGTTTACTCTCAGTTCTTCAGAGAACAAAGGAATTATAAAATTCAGTAATAAATATAAATCATGATTGCACTGTACAGTGCAGTACTGTAGGTTTGATATGCCATTGTATATTACGGTACAGCATGTAAAAGTTATTCAAATAAAAGCAAAATCAAGTTGGGATTTTATTTGACTATTTCTTTGTTCTAAATATTATAATATACATACGATTTCATCAGTTGTGATGAACCTATGGCATGCATGATACTGTGTCTGTTTTGTGGGGGGGTACTGGGGATCAAACTCAGGACCTTGTTCTTACAAGGCAGGCATGATGTCACTGAGCTAAATCCCCAGCCCCACTGTGTTTTTCTTTTAAAACAAAAGATATTAATGTATGAGTTATTTTTTCAATAGCTTCAGGTTTAATTGCAGTGTTGGCACTTGACAATAAATAGGTGGGTGTGAGGTTGCAGTTTGGCACTCAGTCTCTAAAAAGTTCACCATCATTGCTATATACAATTTCTTAGTGACTAATTCATTTAGTGATCTAATTACAGAAACAGAATGGAACTTGATTGTTAAATGAGTAATGTTTACTTTTTTCTCTTGTCTGATTGCTTGGCTAATGTTTTGAATACAATATTGAGCAGGAGTAGTGATAGAACACATTCTTGTCTTGTTCCTGATTTTATAGGGAAAGCTTTCAGTTTTTTCCATTTAATATAATGTTAGCAGGTTTGTCATAAATGACTTTTATCAAATTAGGTTAGGTCCTTCTATACCTATGTTCTTTGAAGTTTTTATCAATAATGGATGTTGGATTTTGTCAGAGGGCTTTTCCACATCTATTGAGATGATCATGGGATTTTTGTCCTTTCTTCTGTTTTTATAATGTGTTACATTTATTTATTTGAATATGTTGAACCATTCTTGTAATGAATGAGATGAAGCCTACTTGGTCGTGATGTGTGACTTGTTTCATTTCGTTCACCAATATCTTGTTGAGGATTTTTGCATCTATGTTCATTAAGGAGATTCACCTGTAATTCTTTTTTATTTGGATCTTTGTCTGCTTTTGAGGTTAGAGTGATATTTGCATCCAGAAATGAGTTTGGAAGCACTCATTTCTTTTCAATTTCTTTGAAGAGTTTGAGAACTATTGGTGTTATAACCTTCTTAAAGGTCTTGTAGAATTCAGCAGTGAATACCTCAGGTGTTGGGTTTTTCTTAGTTGGTACTTTCACTGTCTCAACTTCATTGCTTGTTATTGGATTGTTCAGAATTTTTTGCCTTCTTCGTTCAGTTTCAGCAATTTGTATGAATTTAGGAATCTGTCCATTTCTTCAGATTTTCTAACTTGTTCAAGTCCAAGTTTTCATAGTAATTACTATTTTCTCAATTTTAGCAGTGTCTGTTGAGTTAACCTTTGTAATTTCTAATTGAATTGATGTGAGTTCCCTCTCTCTCAAGTTTGGGTAAGGTCCTATCAATTTTGTTTATTCAAAGAACCAGCTCTTTGACTTGTTAATTCTTTCTGTATTTTTAAAGCAAGCTCTATGGACTAGTGTGCAGTCTATTTTGAAGAAAACTTCATGTGCTGCTGAGAATGTATGTTCTGTTGTAGTATGATAGCTCATTTTGTAGATAATCTATTAAGTCTATTCGTTCAAAGGTGTAGTTCAGCTCTGACATTTCTTTGTTGATATTTTTGTTTAGTTGATTTCATTGTGAAAGTGTGGTATTACAGTCACCCACTACAATTTTGTTGGTATTTATTTGATCCTTTATGTTCAGCTTATTTGTTTCGTGATGATAGGTGCTCAGTATTTGGCCCATGTATATTTACAAGTATTATCTCTTCCAGTTAGATTTTTCCCTTGACTAGTGTGTAGTAATCTTTTTTGCCTCTTCTGATCAATTTGTTTGAAGTATACCTTGTGTGAGAGTAAAATTGCTACCCCTGCTTGCTTTTGGAATCCTGGTGCATAGAATATTGTTTTCCATTGTTTTAGTTTTAGTGTATGAATATCTTTTTTGATTAGATCAGTTTCTTGAATGCAACAGACTATTGGATTCTATTTTTTTATTTAGTTTACCAATCTGTCTTTTAATTGGAGAGTTGAGACCATTAACATTGAGATTCTACTGAAAGGTGTTGATTTATTCTTGACATTGTGTTCTTTTTCTGTTGATGACTCCTTTGTTTTTTCTATTTGTTTTGTTTATCTATTTGCCTTGCTTCATTAATTTATTTCATCTGATGTTTTGGTTTTGTTGTCTCTGTCTAGGATATCTTATTGTTTGGAGAGCAGGTTTGGTATTAATGTATTCTTAAATTGTTCTTTTTCATGGAATGTCTTTATTGCTTTGTCTACTTTGAAAGTTTTACCATATAATGTTAATCTGGGTTAAAAGTTGTTTGTTTTTAGGGCTTGAAATGCTTCACTCCAGGCTCTTCTGGCCTTTAAAGTTTGTATTGAAAGTCTACTATAATTCTGACAGGTTTACCTTATACATGATTTTTTTTTTTTTTGCTTTTCTCTTATAGCTTTTAAGATTGTTTTGTTATTGTTGTTGTTGGACATCTAGAATTTTTACTAAGATGTATTATAAGGAACTCCTTTTTGTATTGTAGTTGGTTGGTGTTCTGTCAGCCTTCCTTACCTCTATGATGAAATTTTCCTCATACTTGAAAAGTTTTCTATTATTATTTCTATTGTTATTCCTTGTGTGCTGTCTTCTACTTTCTCTGTAACTCCAATTAGCCTTAAGATGGTCTTAATGTCATCTAGTAACTACTGGATGAATTTTTGTTCTTTTATTGTTTTCAAGGCTTCTCTGACTAATTCATAATAATTTACCATTTTACCCTCAATTTCTGAAAGCCTGTCTTCACATTGGTCATTTCTGCCATTTATAAATTCTGTACATTTTTAAAATTTCTGGTACTTCTTTCAGATACCATTTTGTAGATTCTGTATCTTTGGTAAATTTGTCATTCATGTTTTGGTCAGCTCTTAAAATTTTTTATTTATTTCTCCCATATCCACATCAGTTATTTTCTATCATGAGTCACTTTTAGGTCACTTTTTCTATGATGAGTCACTTTTAGGTTACTTTTTAGGTCTTTTAGTTCTTCTTTGAATTCTCCAAGTTTCTTTACCTCTTCTTCAGTCAGCTCATACAGCTCCGCTACCTGGTCTTTGTTTTCCTCTCCATCAGTGCCTTGGCAGAAATGGAAGTTCTTTTGTTACCTTGTTATCGTGTTTGTGTGTGTGTGTGTGTGTGTGTGTGTGTGTGTGTGCACGCGCGTTTATGGTGCTGTGAGTTGAGATCTAGTAGGGTAAAAAGAGACTATAGTTGACATAAAGATTTTTTTTTAGTAAGATTCTGCCTTCCAGTGATATGTTCACACCTCTTTTTTTTTTTCCAGAGATAGTGTTCACCCCTTCAGCTATTTAAATGATTTGGACCTTGTCACTATGTTGTAAGGAAGGAATCACCACTAGTTATGACAGCATCAACAGATCTGATCATACATCATTTGTATGCTAAACCCTGCACTTATACTTCCACCCTTTAACAATACTGTCTACAGCCTATACTGTAGTGTTATTAGCAATTAGTCTGCAACGTAGAAGGTGAAAGGAAGGGAAGAGATAGAGGGATGGGTGAAATAGGAGTGTAAGTCAGTGGGAGGAGAGATAGGAGAAATATTAATGGGTAAAAAGAAGAGGTGAGATTCTGTTGTAGGTCTTTTATTATTGGAATGAAGGGTTAGTGTTGAGGGTTTTAAGAAAATATTTATGGGATTGGAGAAGGAAGGTATAGTTTGAGATTGAGGAAAGCTGCTAGGTTGTCAGAACCTGTTGATATATTTGTGTACCTGTATGGTGGAGAAGAGGCAAGAGAAGACAAGGGGCTAGGAAAGATAAGGAAAAGAAAAAAGAGTAGAATAGACAGAAGGTTAATACATGAGAAGGTGGGAATGACTGAAAAAGCAGAATATAGGGAAAAATTGAAATTAAAAAATGGGAAAAGTAAGTAAAACATAAGAAAATATTGCTACAGAAGCTAGTATTGAAGAAAAAGAATAGGGAAGAATAGAAAAGAAACAACAAAAACAAAGAAAAAAGTGAGAGAAAAGAAAGAAGTCACAAATCTGGTGGTGACCCAGATCAGACGATCCAACAGAGAAAGTGCATGCAATTCTCATGTGACCACTATGCCATAAAGCCTGAGTATCCATATGATTCCATTCTTGTCTCAGTTGTGGTCTGACTGCATGCAGCCTCCTCAATTTCTCCTCTTTACAAATACCCTCCCTGCTCTAGTCAGAATCTTACATGGCTCCCAGAGTTTGGCTGAGTCATTTTCCCTCCCAAGAGTGTCAGGGAACTTGAAAAGGCACTGAGTGTAGACCCTCAGCAGGTGTGGGTGCCAAGCTGAGTGGTACTCTCTGCAGGTGTGGCACTGAGCTGGGACCTGGGCACTGAGCTTGGGCAAGGCTCCAGGCAAAGGTTCAATATTTTCTTGTTTATCTTCTTTCTGTCCAGGGTTGGTGGTAGAAGGTGGATTTTCTTACTTGTGGTAATCACTGGAAAGAATGCAGTAGGGGTTTAGTAGTTCCCAGTATTTGGAAGTGGGATAATAGGAAGAGGACAGTATATAGCTAGAATCTGTCCTGGGAGTCTAGTCTCTGCAGCAGTCATTGGTTCCCTCAGGCTATTTGGGATATTCTCTTGATTGCTGCCCTCTGAAGGGCAAGGGGTGGAGTCAGTGCAGACCAGCTGTTGCAGTGCCACTTTCCCTTTTAAACTATCCAGATATTTGGTATGATGTACATGTATCTTCTTTCAGAAGAAAGATGTATCCATTTCAGGGTGTAAGTCCCTTTCTCACTTTAGAGTACCTTTATTTTCAGTGAATATTCTCTGAGTCCC